TGACTGGAGCGACGATCTTGCCCTTAAATAGTCAGAGGAATCTTCTAGAGGCGGCGTCGGAACTCTCTAGACATTCGACCGCCACACGCTTATGTAGAGCGACGAATCTTCTAGAGGCGGCGGCGGCCGGACATTCTAGAATATTCGACCGCCACACCACCCCCCTACGGAGTGGAGTTAGCTAGGGTCAAAAATGTCCGGGAATCTGACTCGGCGGCCTGAGCGAGTTGTTCGTACTGCCTGTGTTGATGGATCGGTATTAGGCGGTTGTTTCTGTTTGGTCGTATCCGGGGCAGTCGCTGGTGGAGCATGTGCCTGGCTAACGGTTGTGCTTTCGTTCACCATGAGGTAGGCAGGTTTTACTCTATCAATCGTCACCGTAACTGATTGATTTCGAACTTTTATTGTGAACGTTTTGTCATTTCGGGCAATTACTTCGTAGGGACCTTGATATGGCGGTTGAAGTGCTGCTCGGACACCTCCCTCCCTGAGAAATACGTGTGAACAGTCCTTAAGGTCCGCAAAAACAAATGATCGTGGATTTGAGTGGCGAGATGCAGGTACTGGACGAATTTTATTCATAACACTGCGAAGACGATCTAGTAAGCTAGTAGGGTCGTTCGTACTGCTATTATCTTGCTTGTCTGTGAAGAAATCACCAGGAAGATTAAGAGGCTCACCATAAACAAGTTCCGCAGACGTGGCTTTTAAGTCTTCCTTAAACGCAGAACGTATTCCGAGAAGCACGATAGGCAGTGACTCAGTCCACGAGTCTTTTGCGTGGGCCATGATGGCTGCCTTTAGTTGTCGGTGCATTCGTTCGACGAATCCGTTTGCAGCAGGATGCCAACTGGTAGTGGGGCGAAGCGTAAAACCAAAACGTTTTGCTAAAGTTTTTAAAGTAGCTGAAACAAACTGAGTACCACGGTCAGTCGTAACGTATTGAGGTACTCCGAAGCGTGAAATCCAGCAATTGAGGAAACCCTTAGTGACATCATCTGCTGTTATACGTTCGAGTGGATACACCTCCGGCCAACGGGTGAAACGGTCGATTACCGTCAGACAGTACCTAAAGGACTGTGATGGCGGCAATGGACCGATGATATCGACATGAACATGTTTGAATCGGCGTGAAGGTGTTTCAAAGTTTCCCAGTGGGGCTGAGACGTGTCGGCTTATTTTCGATCGCTGACAGTGGACGCAGGCACGTGCCCAGGAACGGCAATCCTTTTTCATTGCTGGCCACACAAATCGTTCTGAAACTAAGTGAGCTGTTGCGCGTGCACCGGGGTGACTAAGGTTGTGTAACTGATCAAATGCGTGACGCCGGAATCGTTGTGGCAAAAATGGTCGTGGGCGTCCCGTTGACGTGTCGCAATAAATATAGGCTGAAGATCCTGGCACTAGTACCTTCTCCAAATGAAGAGATGAATTGTTGTCAGTAAAATGTTTGAGTTCATCATCCGTGTCTTGAGATGCAGCAAGAGCTCGGTAGTCCAGCGGGAGAGACACAACTTCAATGCGTGACATTGTATCCGCGACGATATTTTCATCACCTTTAATGTGTTGAATGTCGGTGGTGAATTCGGATATGAATGTCAACTGGTTGAGTTGCGTAGGAGGTATCTTTTCTCTCCGTTGGGTGAAAGCATATACGAGTGGCTTATGATCGGTGAAAATGGTACATGGTTGTGCTTCGACAATGTGCCTGAAATACTTCACCGATTCATAGATGGCAAGCAACTCACGATAATACGCAGGCCACGCACTTTGTTTCACCGACATTTTCTTTGAAAAAAATGCTATGGGTTGCCAGATGTTATTGACTCGCTGCTGCAGACATGCGCCGATAGATTGGCTAGATGCGTCTGTGAATAGTCCAAGTCGTGCGGCTGGATGAGGATGTGCTAAAAGAGTAGCGGTCGCAAGACTTTCTTTGCATGTGGTGAACGCTTTTTCTAACTCGGGAGTCCATTCTATCGGTTGGGAACCTTTTGTCTTCGGGCCTTTGAGAATACCGTGAAGTGGTGCTTGCAGGTCGGCAGCTTTGGGAATAAACCGGCGATAAAAATTTACCATTCCCAAAAACCGGCGTAATCCTTGCATAGATTTTGGCAATGGATACTGTCGTAGGGCTTCGACGCGTTCCGGTGGCGGGCGGGTGCCTTCAGAAGATACTAGGTAACCTAGAAATTTCACCTCAGCCGAACCTAATACACATTTTTGCGGGTTAACGACAACACCGTAGTCAGAAAGTCTCCCGAAAAGAGTGCGTAAATGCTGTTTGTGGTCCTCTTCCGATTTAGAGAATACCAAAATGTCATCAATATATGCATAACAGAAGTCCAACCCATTGGTAACTTCGTCTATGAAGCGTTGAAAAGTTTGTCCAGCATTTCGCAATCCGAATGTCATAAAAGGAAATTCGTAAAGTCCGAATGGAGTGGTAATGGCTGTTTTGCATATATCGTCCGGATTAACAGGTATTTGATGGTAAGCCTTTACCAGATCGATTGTGGAAAATAGCGTGCAATTAGCCAGGTTGTGCGAGAAATCATGTATGTGTCTGACTGGATAGGAGTCTGGTATAGTTCGGGCGTTCAGCGCGCGGTAATCACCGCAAGGACGCCAGCTGTTCTCCCCTTTCGGTGCTAAATGTAATGGTGAAGACCACGGACTGCTTGAAGGTCTAGCGGTACCTGCCTTGACCATTTCCGCGAATTCCTGTTTGGCGATTTTTAGTCTACCTGGAGCTAAGCGGCGTGGGCGGCAGGCTATTGGCTGACCAGGTGTCGTAAGAATGTGGTGCACTGTTTGATGTTTTATTGTCCTGGGCAATCCGGTGGGACGTGTGATGTCCGGAAATTCTGCGAGAAGTGCAGCCCAAGGGGAAGTGTTGGCAACTGATTTTATGCTGCATTGATTTACAGAGGAAACCTTACCATTCACAGCCAAGCCTGTGACACCATCAATAAGACGTTTGGTACGGCAATCCGGCAGCAAGTGGTAGTATGCCATGAAGTCGGAACCAATGATAGGAGTACTCACGTCGGCGACAATAAAATTCCATGGGAAACTGCGTCGAAGTCCTAAATTCAAATTGAGATGGACCGTCCCGTAAGTTTTTATGGTACTGTTGTTGGCCGCGCTGAGGTCGTAATCGGTGGCATGGCGTCGTTCCCGTAGTAGCCGTTGAGGGTAACAAGATAAGTCGGAACCAAAGTCGACTAAAAATTGGCGTTTTGTTATTTGATCTGTAACAAACAGGCGGCTGCTCGGGTTCGGACAGTCTGTTGCCGCCGCTACTGACTGTCGTTGGAGTTTTCCTGATACTTGCAGGGAGCCTTACATTTGGCAGCCTTTTCTCCATAAGTGCTATGATACCAACACCATCCTTTGCCGTTAGTCAGTTCCACGTTTGAACGGTTACGTGACCTAGAGCGGGAACGTTGCGGGCGTTTAGCACATAATTCGCTTACCTGTTTTGCGAGTGCTTCAATGGCGGCTAAAACATCGAGTTCCTTTTTATTGTTCGTCGTGGCAACAGCATGGACGAATTGCGAGGGGGCTGGCTGCACTTCAACAATTTTGTCAGCCAGCTCGGCTACCTTATCCAGAGGAAGCTCTGATTGTGCGGTTAAAATAGCTTGTGCATGTGATGGTAGACGGCGGAGCCAAAGTTGACGTAAAATATTGTCTTGTAATGTAGTAGTGCCGGCAAGGGAACGGAGATGTCGTAAGAACTGTGATGGCTTACGGTCACCTAGTTCTTCTTCATTGATGAGTTGCCGCACACGTTGTTCTTCTGAGATAGACAACCGTTCAACGAGTTTTGCGCGTAGATGTTTGTAGCGTTCAGTAGGCGGTGGGTTAGTAATAATATCCTCTACTTCGGCGGCGTAACGCGTATCAAGCTGAGCCACAACATAATTAAATTTTGTTTCCTCACTTGTTATTCCCGAGATTGCAAACTGCGAGTCAACCTGTGAGAACCATAAGCTCGGTCTTTCGGACCAGAAAGGTGGCAACTTGACGGCAACGCGATTCACTGAAGCTGTTGGATATTGCTGTGCCTGTAGTGCTGCAAGGCGAGCGTTTTCTTGACGTAACTCCTCCAATTGATTGCGTAGTTCTTCGGCGTTCATACTTATTATCGTCGAGGTCACCAATGTAGCGAGGTGTAATGTATAGAAGTAATAAACACTTTTACGATTTAATAACAACTATACTATATTACAACGAACTAACAAATAACAAATAACAGCGAGAGACGAACTGTATTACAACGAACTAATAAATAACAGCGAGAAACGAAGCGCGTGTAAGACAGAATGCGTAAGTAATTGACTGATCGACTGACTGACTGGAGCGACGATCTTGCCCTTAAATAGTCAGAGGAATCTTCTAGAGGCGGCGTCGGAACTCTCTAGACATTCGACCGCCACACGCTTATGTAGAGCGACGAATCTTCTAGAGGCGGCGGCGGCCGGACATTCTAGAATATTCGACCGCCACATTTTTAATCAGACATATAATACAGCATAGAAACAGTAAATACCGAATAGAAATGATAAAATTGAAAAAATATTTTTGACCGCGTAGATCGTGAAAATTGACCTATGTGCGCTGATATGGAAATTTTACTTGTTCGAACGATGGAACAAATATCGGACAAGTCTATGATTATACAAAAACATAAACCAATAAATTATTGTTTTTACATAGTACGCAACTCCAAAATATTACCGCAAAACATGTGTTAGGGATTACCGGAGGAACCAGTAATGTATCGAGGACCTGATGCTGCTAAACATTTTGTATCAGCGTTGGTGGATATTGGAAAGCAAGTATCAGATATCATGAAAATTAACATCGAAATGAATCCTCTAACTTCTGAGGAACAACATCGTTTCAATACCACAAAACATTGCGACTCGTGTTTAATAGAGTTTACCGATAAAATAGTAAAAGTCAAGGATCATAATCATTGGACGGCAAAATTTCGAGCTGTTTTATGNCATAGTCATTGGACGACAAAATTTCGAGCTGTTTTATGCCACAAGTGTAATTTACAACGACGATATTCCGCTTTCATACCAGTTATCATGCATGGTCTTTCATACTATGACTCGCACATGATAATACCAGAAATGGCTTACGACGATAAAGACATTACTGTTATAGCACAATCCGAAGAAAAATATATTTCGTTCAGTAAGACAATAAGCGATTATTTTCAACTTCGATTTATANTGACAATGTGTTTCCCTCAGCCGCACATCACGTTATCAACCTATATGAAAGTGTATCGGGATCTGAATCATAAGTGCACGGTGGCCTAGTGGTAAGGTTTGTCTATACGACGCCTTGGGTCGCGGGTTCTAATCCCGTACCGTGCCTCTTTTTTTCACATGATTTCCGGTACACTTTCTATAACCGGCCGTCAATCCCCGGTGGCCGTGTTAACAATAAGCGATTATTTTCAACTTCGATTTATAGATTCATATCGATTTTTGTAAGCGAGTTTGTATCAACTTACAACCACCTTGACTTTACCTGATTTTGCACATACATTAAATGTCTTTAAATCGTTGGAGTTGGTCACACGGAAATCGGTTTTCCCATACGAATACGTAGACAGTTGGGAAAAACTCGACGAAAATCAGTTGCCAACCCGCGAAAATTTTTACAGTTCCATTACGAAAAATACAGTATCCGAAGAGGACTATGAACATGCAAAAAAAATGTGGCAACACTTTGAATGCAAAACTATTGGTGATTATAGTGACAAGTATTTACTTGTCGACGTTATGGTATGTTGTTAATTTTTTTAGTAATTAACAATTATAAATACATTTATTTTTTAGGTACTTGCTGACATATTTGAAAAGTTTCGCGCGGAGAGTTTAAAAAATTATTCTCTGGATCCCACTCATTATTACTCATGTCCAGCCCTATCATTTGATGCTATGTTAAAATATACTGATGTCAACATTGAATTGATAACAGACCCAGATATGTTATTAATGTTTGAATTGGGTATACGTGGAGGTTTGACACAAGTATGTGTGATTATTAAAAATATAAAAATATGTTTAATAATATTTATAAATATATACATATTTATATATAAATATATTTAATATAGGTCAATCAGCGGTATGCTCGAGCAAATCATCCAGGTATCTCTGACTACAATCCCAATATTCCACATAAATATCTTCAATACCTAGATGCTACAAATTTATATGGAACAGGTAGTTTTTTTTTTAAATAAAAAAATTAATATTTGTGTAAAAAAAAACATTTGTTTTTTTAAGCAATGATGGAACCGATGCCACATGGTAATTTTGAATGGTCACCTGTTACATTGGAGGAAATACTTGACACAGCTGAGGATGCTGATCATGGATATCTTGTGCAAGTCGATGTAGATTATCCACAACATTTACATGATTTACACAACGATTTACCATTTTTTCCGGTAAACGAGCGACCACCTCTACCGTCTGCCAAATACAAAAAACTGATGACCACATTGTTTCCAAAACGTAATTACGTTGTACACTATCGAACATTAAAGCAAGCGGTAAAACACGGTGTGGTTATCACAAAACTGCATAAAGTCATAAAGTTTAAACAATCTCGATGGTTGGCACCCTACATCCAAATGAATACAGAATTACGTAAAAAAGCCTCCAACAAGTTTGAACAAGATCTACCAAAATATATGATCAACTCCAACTATGGTATTACTAATATTTTTATACGTTTAATTTTTTTAATAATAAAAATTTTTAATTTTACTAGGTAAAACATTGGAAAACGTGAGAAAACATCAAAATATTCAACTTGTTTGTAACGAAGATAAATTATCAAAACTGGTAGCGAAACCGTCGTTTGGTCACACCACAATATTTAATGAAAACCTTGTAGCTGTACACATGTATAAAGAAAAAATTAATTTTTTTAAACCCATTTTTATTGGACAGGCCGTGTTGGATATTAGTAAATGNGAACACATGTATAAAGAAAAAATTAATTTTTTTAAACCCATTTTTATTGGACAGGCCGTGCTGGATATTTGTAAATGTATCATGTACAAGTTTCATTATGATGTAATGCAACCATTTTATGGTCCTGAAAGACTTAGACTCGTGTATATGGGTACAGACAGTTTTATTTATTTAATATTAACGGATAGTTTTCAGGATGATTTGAAAAAATATCTGTTTGAATACTTCGACACTTCCAACTATCCCACTGATCATCCATGTTACA